TTTCCTCCTATGACAGCTTAATTTTCCCACAGTTTGCTTAATCATTATCAGTGAACATTTAAGTTGTTTCCAACCTTTTTCTGTTATACAGCTATGATAAATTTTGTTGGATACAAAGACTGACATTTTCAGAAAACCTAAGTATTTGCTGAATGGATGATTGGAAGAAAGGAGGATGACTTAGAAACAAGCAGAGATGTGAAAGGATGAAATTAGAGACAAAAGCTATAAGGCTACTGGGAATGAAAGAGAGGGAGAGACTAGAGGGAGATATATTTAGGAGAACCAGTAAGGCTAGATAACCTATGTAATGTTGGAATTTGGGAACAGAAGTAGTGGACAATAATTTCTGGAATAATAGTACATTGGAAAAATAATACAATTATTACCCACATAGCTTAGATGAAAGTAGCATGATTATTTTTGGGAAATATATGCACAAAATTGAAGCAATATTAGCAGAGAGAGTTAATAGGAAAGGAAAGTAGGACCAATAATTGTTGTTTTCCTAATTTCTCTTTTTTCCTATCTTGTTTTTCCAGTTCTTCTGCTCTTACTGCTAATCTATATTCTCTCTTTTTATTCCAACTAATTATCTCTGACTTCTTTTTTCCCCTCATTGATTTGAACTCATTTATAGATCAGAGATTTGATGATTCCTAAACTGTTGAGCAGTCTATGAATTGACTTTTCACTCCCATGATTTTAAAGTTAAACATTGTGTTTGTAAAGAATGAGTTTTTGACAGATTGTATGTCAAGAGCTTTTTCCCCTTTGATACCGGGGACCAAACTCGGGACCTTGCACTTGCGAGGCAGGCAGCAGAACCACTGAGCTAAATTCCAGACCCACAATTCACCTTTTGAAGGTATACAATTCAGTGGTTTTAAAAAATTATAGTCGTGGGGCCAAGGATTTAACTGCATCTATGGAGATGATCATATGGTTTTTGTCCTTGACTCTCTTAATATAGTGTATTACATTTATTGATTTATGAATATTGAACCATCCTTGCATCCCTGGGATAAATCCAACTTGGTCAGGGTGTATGAGCTTCTTGATGACCCTCTGTATTCTGTTTGCCAGTATCTGTAATACACTATATTAACACAGTCAAGGAAAAAAACCATATGATTATCTCAATAGTTGCAGAAAAAGCATTCGACAAAATCCAACACCCATTCATGATAAAAATGCTACAAAAAATTGGAATAGAAGGTCTTTATCTCAACCTGATT